GTACTTAACTGCATTCTCAGGTAGGACACGCACCTCCGCTCTTTCCTATCCTGAGCTAATCTTCGCTAATCTGACTAAACCTTCGTGCCTGAGAAGGTGTTCTATTAACCTAACTAGCCTATTTCTTATTTACTTCCATAGAGTCCTCTGTTCTCTCACACTTTGTAATACTAAAAATAAAATTAATAATTTGAAAGATTTCTAGATGAGATTTCTGTTCGCAAATAGTTGCGAGATAAAGATTCCTATAATTTTCAAGAAATGCAAGGATCGGCTTAAGAACTGGAGGGCGTGACCTAGAGACTCCTGTTTAAGATTCAGGAAAACGCCGATTTGATTCCAGGTCCCTCTGTCCTAGTTTCTTTAGAACATTCAGGCAAATTGCGAGTAGGGACTAATATGTCACAGATAATCTTTTACTTTAATTCATTTCGTCAGTTTCTTTACTCATTCTCACGATCTCGATAAGGAGACTGAAGAGAACTTTTCGTCCTACCTTCCGGATTTGCACCATAGTATAGGTAAATAAGACAACCAAAAATTTTAAGAAGTTTGTTTTCTGTTATCCGTTTGTTGAAATTATACTCTGTATATGTTTTGACGATCGTCAGCCTAAAAGTCTATAGCGTACTTCGTGTTAACTTAAAAACTGAAAATTTTAGCACCAGGGAAGGCTTCACAGCAAAAATACAATAAGAAACCAGACGCGGATCGCGATTTCGATCTTTTTGGATCTCCTCAGCGCGTCGCAGGCAGCTCCGACAGAACACAGACCTACTTTTACCTGCTGTCTTAACAGCGCGTTTTAGAAAATACTACAAATGGCGCGTATCTATTATTATTTCCAAAATTTAATACAGTAATTTACGGATGGAAAAAGATAAAAATTTTGTAATTGTAAACATATGCGTTAGGTATATATTTTTACGCGAACTAGACTTTGCAAGCCAATAATTATTTTATTATAATCTGTTATAATCTACGAGTTTAATTTTTTTTTATTAATTAAGTACCTTTATTTTCTTCGTATTTCACAATTTTCTCATTTTCATAATAGTGGTCGAAAACTGGTTGAAAACACCTGGACGACAACTGCAAATACTGTATACACATATTTTCCTATGATAATTAATCCTATTAATTAATTAGCTTAAGTTAAATAAGAATTAAAAAAGAGTAGGTATGCCAACAATAGATTACTGTTCGCAAATAGTTAAGGATATGGGATGCTATAGCTTTAGGGAAATGCGAAGATTAGTGCAGGATATGAAAGAGTAGAGGTGCATGTCCAACCAGTCTTAAGACTGACGACCTTATTATGATGATGATACCAGCAATAAATTACGATATAATTTATCGATATTGCATTATTACGACATATCTTCGCTTCGCTTGGGTGCAATACTGATACTAAATACACTACACACACTACAGAATACCTTATTTATATACAACGTTGACAGCTTTTTTGTCACTAGACAATACAAACATGTTTTCTTTAGAGATTACTCTAGAAAGACCGACATGTAATGTGAAAAACCTCAACGCTCAAATCTGTAATATCTTCGAAAATATTCATTTAAATTACATGCTATAAATGGCCATATTGATCTATATTAAATGCACAATGTATTTAAAAGTACTTAATTGGATAAGGATTAATGCTGTATTGCTTAAAATCGCTTCGTAAATAAGCCATTATTTCTCGTAAAAAGTAAAGGATAAAAAATGGTTATTGTGGGTTATCCCTAAGAGATAGACATATACCATCCCGGTCTTTTTTGTAGACCTTTTTTAAGGTGTACAATACTGCATTATTTTGATCTGTCTCGTAGGGTTCAGCCAGCGTTTGCAATGTAAACGCAAAAAATGTGTTTATTTACGACGTCACATTACAGGTCTCTAAAATTATCAGTGTTTCTCTAGTATATTACGCATGTATTATACATATAAATATTCCTCTTAAATTACTTTATCTACTAAAAAAAAACCGCATTAAAATCCGTTGCGTAGTTTTAAAGATCTAAGCATACATAGGGACAAACAGCGGGGGAATTGCCTTGTATGATTTCGTTACATAGCAACTCGCATGAAACGAACTTACCCTACCGTGCGTAAAGAAGTTTCACTTCAAAAATTAAATATGTACAATACACGTGTGGTGTTATACCGCACCACAATATAAATACATTTACAACCAGGTGTCCTACCGCAGAATCAACATTAATGACATCTATTCAAATGGTAGTATCCTGGGCTATAATAGGTGTATTAGCTGAAACCTTATTTCAATATTTATTTATCAAAGAACGCAAGTTAAATATAACCGAAATAAAGTTTAATATGGATGCTTTGAGTATAAGAATTTGTAATTTGGATTCCTTCTTATTCTCTTTAATTAGGGATANATATAAATCTTCCTCTTGAATCACTCTATCTATTAAAAAAAACCGCATCAAAATCCGTTGCGTAGTTTTAAATATCTAAACATACATAGGGGCAGACAAACAGCGGGAAGGGACTTTGTTTTGTACCATGTAGTGATTAATTACTATCTTTTAAAAACCGTCCTCATTTTCTTAATTTCATTACAGTACTGCAATGTGAGTACATATAACGAGCCGTCAAATAAGTACCATCGATTGAGCAGTCGAAGTTCTAGTCCAGGGACGCTCTTTTCAAGGTGACGTGTCAGTAAACGATAACCGCGGCTGGTAAACAAGCCTGGACGCCGGGCCGCACGGTCGCGATCCACTCCATGAGAAAACAAAAAAAAAAAAGAAGACGACCAACTACCTATATGACACCTACTTATCAACCAACACCACATCTCCGACGTTTCCGTAGGAAACTCTTGTTAAAAACAAGAGCAACGGTACCAGCGAGTAAGTCAACGCAGCGGCTCCGAGAATTGGTACGGAAAGGAGGACTCTCGACGTCTTTTGAATAGTAATATAAAGTACTTATTACTGACGTTCGTGTTTGTTTGCCTTGTCAAGTTGTTGCAGTGGACACTGTGCCGGTGCTGGAAGAAAACTTTTCCGCATTCTCGTTCGGTGCTTCATTTCTGTCACCGGTGGACGACTGTACGTACGCACGCCGAACTATGAAAAGCGCGCTCGGTTTACTAACTATCGGACTCCTGGTGCATCTTTGCAAACACTGCCTTGCCCAGGAACCATCCGGAGGATATTACAGGACTAGATATGACCATATCAATGTCGATACGGTGATGAATTCGAAAAGGCTAGTAAATTATTATGGGGCGTGTCTTTTGTCGAGGGGGCCTTGTCCACCCCAGGGAGCCGAATTGAAACGTAAGTCCAGATAAAGTTTTGTTTTATAGTTGCAAGGAGCTAGTTGATACGTAGCAATAATATAGCAATGAAAGGAAAATTTTATAAAGGATATTGATGCTATCATGTTCATAAAAAAAGTCTTCAGAAACCACCCCATTCTGTTTAATTCAAATGTATTAAGCGTGGGTTCTTATCGCCCCAATTTTATAGACGAAAAAGTAAAATTGATATACATTATTCATTCATTTATTTGGATATTTATTTTTTTATATAATATATTCTTTTTTTTTCATATTAGGTAATAATTATTAAACGATGAGTACCAATTTTTTTGGTCATCTTTTATAATTTTAACATTTAGTAAAGAAATTAAAATATATCATACGTACTCTTTCTTTCAAAACATCATGAGATGTCTTGAGGTTAATTAATATATTGTTCAAATGTACCTAATTACAACTAAAAGACAATATAATCTGAATGTATAGTACTATTATATAAAGCTGTTATTAGGAAAGTTAAAATTTGTGGTTATATGTAATTTTGGATGAGAAATCCGAAAATTACAAAAAAAATATCTTCGTCAAAAAAAAAAAATAAAAAAAACAGGGACACGTATAATGGAAAAGAGACAAAAGAAGAGAAATTAAATTTTAAATAATAAATGCAGTATAGGAGTTCTTTATATAAATATTGTTTATTTCTAGTTTGAATCTGTTCTTCAGTCTTCTTCCATGACATTTAAAAGACCTTGTACAGCAAGCAGTATTTTCGATATTGAAAAATTATTTTAAATTGGTAAATCTTAGGTTTTACAGCAGAGACATGGTATAAATGTTGAAAAATAGACACGTATGGACGTGTTCGGTGCATGGTCTTGTACTGGTGGACAGTCTCTAACCCCTGCTACCCATACCACCTCTATTCTATTGAAAAGTATTTCGAAGATGTTTAAAAAAATACTAAATGATAAATAATAATTTATACAATGTAAAGATTTGACGCGTGAGTAATTTCATTACTAATTATATTGCAATAATTTATTAAAAATTAAGGTTTTGACACTGATACGTAATTAAAATAAATGATTGAGAAATATCGATTGAGACAAGTTGGCGAATGAGAACGGTGAAGGGAGGTGATATGGGCAACGGGGGTTGCAGACTGCCCTCAAGTACGAGACCATGCGCCGAACACGTCCGTACTTCTGTGATAAGACCTAAGATTTACCGAGCGGACGGTGGTAAAAGTCCTAGAACATTTCGAACTTTTGCTATTCAAAGTTGGTAAATGTTAGGTTTTACTGGAAAATCTTAGGATTTACCGGTGTTTCGGGCTTTTACGATAACATATACCAGTGATGAGATAAGAACCGAACATACATTGATACATATTCTATATCTTTAACCATTTTTTCATACCATCATCATCTGAAGATTGGTTGGACACGCACCTCCACTCTTTCCTATCCTGAATTAATCTTCGCATTTTCCTAAAACTACTTAGAACATCTATTCTAAATGTGCTTCTACTCCTCTTAACTCCTGTTTCTGCCTCTAATATGACTGACTAGCTCTTTATGCCTGAGAAGGTGGCCTACCAACCTATCTCGTCTATTTCTTATAGAGTCCTCTGTTCTCCTATTTTTTCTAATATCTCTTCATTTTTTTATACAAAGAATAAAATAACATAGATCCACTGAATGCAATTTAAGACTTTTGAGGATGTGTTACTCTTCTTCAGAACATTTTCAAGAGTTCGATTAGTTTAGGACAGTTCTCAGGGAACTAGGTGATGTTATTTTCAGATAGACGTGGATGAAAAAATGTATTCCATACGTTCACCAAATCATGCATTTTAGCTTGTACGACATTCTATGTTCAATGAACTTCTTACCATAACTGTATAGACAGCGAGGAAGGTATGGTTTCAACATGAAACTGCTTTCACAATTAACAGCTATAGAAATCCTATTTCACTATTAAACATTTAAACATAATGACAACCTCAAATAAATCCAATAGAAAAATACTATATGTATTAATTTCCTTAACGAATCTGAAATTATTAATAATACAGCTGGTAATTAAATTAAAAAACGAACTCGATTTCTGTTTTTCTATTTTATGTATTAAACTATCAAATATATTATGAAAAAGTTACAGTATTAAAACACCAAAAATTGGGTATGACATGAATATTGGAACATAAATATTTGCCGGTGTATGCTACTGCCTGAAAATCACACAACTGCAAACAACAGCAAAATTTCACTGAGAATTGGACAAGTGTAGAAAATTAGTAGCGAGAAACAATCTTGAAATTATATTGAATGTGTTTCCGCTTTTATAACAACTTCCTTAATAATTAATTTGGTTTAATTCTTATTTAGCCCAAACGACCGCATACTAATGTCGGAGATTTTAATAAATTTTATATTATGCATTTTTATGTTTCGTACCCAAAAAAATTCCTCATACTAAAAATTAATGATTTTTTGTTTTTGATGATGTATTAGAAAAACGCCAAAATTAGGTGCTATCATAATTAGGTGCTGAATTTAAAAACTAGATGCTATTTAACTTAACCGTAACACAACATTCAAATTTGCGTTGCTATCTTAACGTTATGCCAGTCTATATTTGTCTGGTGTGATATGGTTTGATAAGCCCATATATGTATAATCAACTTGATATCATGCTTGATATGACCTGATCTGGTCTCATCTGCTCATAAGAGTATTGCGTTGCGGTGTTGCACCTTATTTTTGAACTCAGCACCTCATTAGCACCTAAGAAGTGAAAGAGCATCTAATTTTGGCATTTTTTAAATACCGTTTCCTGACTTGGCGTTGCCAAGGACACAGAGCTTCGCGCTAACTTTAAGTATAAATAAAATTGAAATGGGAAATGAGCGAAGTGAATTATTGAAGATGTTACACTAAAATTTTACGAAACGTCCAAACGTCCAAGTTATTTCTTTATTTATAGTTTTCACACCTGCTCAATTTCTTGTAAAATTCTATTTTTCCATTGAATCGCGCATAAAGGAGTAAAGTCCAGTCAAAATTCGCATAGAGCGAAATTGACAGAGACGTTAAATACATCACTATTAATAAAATGTCAAAAGTCCCCTTCGATCGTACTTCTGCAAAAAAATTTATTCAAGGTCAAAAGTGCAAAATTAAGGTTTTTTCCATTTTTATCGAAAACGGTAAATTTTATCGTAAAAATATGTCCAACAAAAGTTGTAGACCATACAATTCTCTACAAAAATGGTCCAGTCACTTTTTCACTTACGCCTCACCATTCGTGAGATATCGCTGTTTTAATCATTAGAAAATTCATATTTTACATAATATGCACACATTTCCGCACGACCTATGAGGTCATGTAGGTACTTGGCGAATTTTTTTTAACGTGGTTTCCCCAGTAGGTATACTCCATGATCTATTGTCATTAAGAAAGTTTGATCAGATCGTATCCTATTGATTGAAAAAATGGTAATATTGCTAATGATCAAAGTGGAAAAGGTGGTTTTCTTCTAAATGTTAGTATATTAGATAATTGTCTAATTCTACTTCGACAATTATTTCTTCGTCTTCATTTTCTTCTTGCAGAATGTCTGTTCGCTGTTCTAAGAAAATGGATGCATCAATTGTCTCGTCATTAATATCATAAATATTATTATCTGTTGTATTTGTTTCAATATTGGAGCAAGTCTGACCCTGACAATTGATGCATACTGGCGAACAAAATAATCCTACTTTTTGACAGCCACAAAAAATAGTATTAAGCAGTTTTTCTGAAGTAGACGGGAGTAGAGTTTGAATTAGCTCCAAATAATTATCTGTTAATATCTATTAATCCTTCTGGGCCCAGCTCATTGCCTAGCCACAATTGAACTTGATAATACAGACGATACAGGTGTTGAAAGACAGAAGCAGATGGAGGCAGACAAGACAAGACAAAAAAGACAAGACAAAACAAAAAAGAAATAAGCCTAGAATCCTGAATTTCATTATTACCACATTAAAGATAAATGACAAATTTACACTTCCAACTATTGTGCTAGCTTCTTTTAAATTTTATTTCACTGAAGGAATGAAACGCTATTCATTTTAACACACTCTAATTGCTTGACACTAGTATTTCAGATACATGAAACCCATATCTCTCTGTACCAATCTCCGTATACCTATCTCATGGGATGTTCTCGTTAGAACACTGAGACAATAAGTCATTGTGAATACAGTTTGTACATTTGGTGGAATAACTTTCACAGATTCCAATTAGTTACTGAAAATAAATTGTATACGGTTACCCAATTTTCCTCACTTTTACGGGGCATAGCATTTATTTGTAAAACTAGTTCTGCGGTTTTCGCAAAAGTGCGCTACTATTTTGGGAAATTAAAGATTGCGCAAGCAGAACTTCCATATCCCTTTTTTTGAGATGCAGAGCCCTAGTTTTATATTTTGGGCATGATCACCACTAATAATAAGATCTATTTTAAAGTAGGTTATCTTACCTGTATATGCCAAGATAATTTAAAGAAATGAAAATTCAGAGGACCTACAATAGAATATAAATTGACAAAATAAAATCGTGTTGTCGGAGATGCTTATGAGACCAAATGAAATTGTTGTAATTATAAAAGTTTACAGTAATAGTGATCCTTATAGTGTTAAATTTTTCAATTCTACCTACTGACAACGGTATTTACCTTAGCAGGAACTTTATTATCAATTACATCTTTAACTTGTACTAGAAGTAAATGAATAAATAAAAATTGAAGATTAGGTTAGGCTGTCGAAATTTAATTTTACAATTTATTAATTATTCTGAGCAAACAACATTTATAGTGAAATCTTCATTGTAAGACAGATAACTTGAATTTTTAACGTAATCAGTGTAAAAATGAGCGGTTTTAACAAAATAATATTATATGAAAATAAATAAAAAGTAAAACAATAAAATACTGGTATGCAAGAGAATGAAAAGTAGGGAAAGAGCGAA